CACATAAACATAAAAATAAAAAAGGAGAATCTGACTTCCAGAGCTGCCATGTTAGAAGGCTCAACTGTTCAATTTTCAACAAAAGCAATCACAATACATACAAAGAAACAGGAAAGCATGGACCACTCAAGGGAACAAAATAAATCAATAAAAAACGTATGCGAGGAAGTTCAGACATCAGACTTTAGCTCGACAGACTTTAAAACTGCCTTAAAAGGTGCTCAAAGAACTAAAGGGAGGTCCTGATCATATTTACAGAACAGAAGAGAAAATGAAGAAGATTCTTCCAAGTAGTAAAAAACAAGGGAACATATATATCATTTGCACTTGCTTTAGAAAGCAATGTGTGGTCTCATACTACAAAAGGGCTATAAAAGTTTAGAACACCAATGAGGAACCTCCCTCCTCCATCCCTGGCAAAGACAGGTTTAGAAAAGTTTTCAGGTTAACAGAACCACTCTACAGAGAAATCTGGAAACTCTAACCTTCACAAAAGAAAAAATTCTCAAATGTGCTACACTTTATGGAAAGAAACCTGTGAGTGTGTTTTAAGAATCTTAAAATATTTCTTTCCTTTGATCAAGCAGTTCCACAGTAGAGGAAGTATTCTGAGGGGAAGACAAAATAACAAAAATAGTAAGATTGTTCATATACTCACAGACACAAAGAACTTCCAAAGGCTCTTCACTGCACTGATAATAAAGCACAAACCACTCAATAGAGCTGGAAAAGTATGGAGAGGTCTTTATGACAGGGGTTCTGACCTATGGCACTAAGTTCTGCAAATGACTCTTAGTCAGCATCCTTCTTCCCTAGGTGCTCCCACGGTGCTTTGTTTACACCTTCTTTTTAGCACTCATCACAGTTCATTCTTATTGGTGGAGTTAGCTGCAATCAAGACTATATGACGTCAAAACTCCAACCCCCAGAAAACACACACCTGGGTATGTATAGGGAAGAAGACATCGATCATTCATTTCTTCATCTCTTAAAGTGACCAAAGTGTTAATAAATGTCTGCAATATTGAATCTAGAAAAATGTGAAATAGTTCTTGAAAACTATGAACATACAACATTAAATAAAAATGCCTAGTTATGCTTTTGAACACTGCAGAAAAAGGTGGACACGGGAACCAACTTAAGTATTACAAAGATTAAATGAAACAGACACAAGTTCATATCTTACTAATAAGAAGCCTTCAATAAATGTCAGTGTATTTATTTATTTATTTTTGAGACAGAGTCTCACTGTGTCGCCCTTGGTAAGAGTGCCATGGCATCACAGCTCACAGCAATCTCAAACTCTTGGGTTTAAGCGATTCTCTTGTCTCAGCCTTCCATGCAGCTGGGATTACAGGCACATGCCAGAGCACCCGGCTATTTTTTGTTACAGTTGTCTGTGGCTGGCGCTGTAACCACTGTGCTATGGGTGCCAGGCCAATGCCTTCATTTTTGAGTAAATTTGTCATAGGGCTGATTTTAACTCCCATCAATAGTGAACAACTAGCAAAATGCTCAATATAAGTTAATAAGTACAATTCTATAAGAAGAATTCTGAAGAAGTACAATTCTGTAAGAAGAATTCTGAAGAAGTTAAAACCTTTTGATGATGTGACTTAATCCAAAAATGAATTTAAGATTTTGGGTGAGGGGGTCACACGGAACACCCCTCGTGCAATTCTACATACTCAATTAAAATCATGCTTTTGAAAAATATTGTGCAACAGAGTCTGCAGTGGCCCTCTACACCTAGTACATGGTACTTAGTTCATAATGGATAAAGGACTTATATCCAGAATATAAAGGCCTGCAATTCAATAACCACTAAAATTCTAAATGGCCAAAATTTGAATAAACATTTCACTAAAGAAGATACATGATTGGCAAAAGAATAACGCTTCAATACAATTAGTCACCAAAGAAATGAAAATTAAAACCACTGAGAAATAAACATTTCAATCATTAGGATAGCTATAATTTATTACTATTTTTTTTGAGACAGAGTCTCACTGTCTCGCCCTTGGTAGAGTGCCGTGGCGTCATATCTCATAGCAACCTCAAATTCTTGGGCTTAAGTGATTCTCTTGCCTCAGCCTCCCAAGTAGCTGGAACTACAGGCGCCCGCCACAATACCCAGCTATTTTTGTTGTTGTTGTTGTTGTTGTTCCTGGGCCAGGTTAAAACCTGCGTATATGGCTGGCACCCTAGCCACTGAGCTACAGGCGCGGAGCCAGGGTAGCTGTAATTTAAAAAAATCAAACGGTAGCAATAGTTAGCACAGTTTCAGAGAAACAAGAATGCTCATACAGTGCCAGTCAGAATGTAAAATGATGTAGTCACTTTGGAAAACAATTTGGCAGTTTCCTTAAAAAGTTAAGCAAAAATTTACCAAATTATCCAGCAATTCCACTCACAGGCAACTACCGAAGAAAAATGAAAACACCTGCACGCACAAAAGACTTGCACAGTGAAGGTGAAAACACACAAATGTTCCAAGCAGTATCAACTCTAACAGCCAACAAAGGGAAAAAATCTGAACTTCCTTCTGCTGAATGGACAAAGTATCCACACAATGGAATAGACTATTTAAAATGAAAAAGAATAAAGTATGGTGACACATCTTGTACTCTCAATGACTCCCCAACAATAAACAAAGAATAAAGTATGAATATCTGGCAATATAGATGAACTCAAAGTATGTCAAAGAAAAAAGACGAGACACCAAAGAACATGCATGATTCCATAAACATCCAGAAATGGGAACTCTGTTGAGATAAAAAGATTGATTAGTGATTGCCCGGGACTGGTGGTAGGAAGGAGGATTAACTGTAAGTGGGCATGAGGGCTCTTGCTAGGGTGATATTCTAAAATATAGATTATGGTGGTAGATGTACAAATTCAGTAAATTTACTAAAATTCACTGAATTGTACATTGATGGTTTATATGTATAATATACCTAAATAAAGTTGTTTAAAAAAAAAAACTTTATACTCCAGATTCCCAACTGATTGTGGGATTAAACACCCTTTGATGAATGCTGGGGTACCTCACTAGTAACCATTTTAGAACGAGCCTCTTCTCAAGAGAAGAGTTTTACATATTTCCTTATTTCTTTCTAATAACTAATCTTTTAGGGAAAAACTGTAAACCAGCATGAATGAGTCTCATGCACCACTCCTAGAAGGTGTGTGGTTGGTCCACTTAGCAGTAACCACGCAGCCTAAATTATCACAGAGCAGTGTACCAACTGCAGGATCCAGGGGAGGGAGGCACTGTGAAGAAACCTGAAACCTTACCCGGAGGTAGCATTTCAACCCAGACACTAAGTCCTGAGTCTCAGAGCAGCATTAAGGATCTCTTCACTCCATAAGCCAAGAGTCTTCTGGTTTAGTTCTCTTTCTGTAGGAGTTTCCTCAAATTTCCACTTTAGGAACTTATTTCTGTAGAGTCAGTGGGATTCCTCCAAAACCCTATGAGCTGAAACCCAAACCTAACTCATTCAGGGACTTTAGTTCCTTCTTCAGTTAGAAATTATTATTCAGACTCCAACAATGAAGCTTATGAGGAATAATCCATCAGTACCCGTATATTCCATTCCTCTGAGGTTTAATTTCACAACAGAAAACTTACTGTATATAACAGTTTTATAACCTTTTCCTGAATTTTACTTGCTATCAATGGGGTCTCTTTAGATTTTAGTGTATGTATTCTCCAAATGGTAGGTGATCATATCAAATTCCACAGGGGGAATGCCAAGTTATATACACAAGAGAAATTAGGACAGTAGATTCCCCATTGAAAGATGGCAGATGCCACCCAGGACCAGCTGAGTGCTCCACAGAAGCATAGGCTCAGTGTTGTTAGCCCTTATAATTTTTTAAGAAAAGTCTTTTTTTTTTTTAATAGGAAATTCTGATATTTAAATAGTGGAAACAGAATTACACATATGTGTATATACACACTTATTCCACCATGCACACCAACTAAAATATCTGTAAGGACTCATTCTTAACCTATCAGCTTGTAACCTTTGCCACACAAACATAGGAAAATGTACTTACTCAGGAAAAACTTTAAAATTAAAAAAAGATAGAACTCTTATTTTGCAAAAGAAATCCATCCAGAATGGCTATTTTTTACACATTATCCTTTTTCCTACCCCCAATCTATTTACCTAGGACTGTTACTCTCATGGCTGAAATGGCTCAGGTGCCAACTCTCTGAACTACCCATACCCAGTGCCTGTAAGAAAAAAAAAAAAAGAAAGAAAAAAGGTGGGGGTGTCTTCCCAATGAAAACATTCCCTGAAGGCAAATCGGTTTGAGCTTCACCAACGTGTTCCTATTTATAGCATTCTAGGGATTCTTGCATCAAGTATTCCAAAAGTACAATGCACTGCAGTCAATACACTAGATGTCCAGCATCCTGAATGAGATTGTATTTTCTATTATAGAAATTTGAAAGTCCCAATGATTCAAAACTAACTTGTTTTCACAGCTTCAGAGATAGCAAAAAACAAAACAAAACGAAAACCACTGAAGAGATCATCAGTCCCACTCTTTCATTCTACTAGTAAAGAAACAAAAATTCAAAAGATCAAATGCTTTGTCCATGGTTACAGAATGTGCTGGTTGGTAAACAGGGACAGAATCCAGGTTAACTGACAGCAGTCAAGCTCTCTTTCACCACACTACATGGTAGTGGAAGGCAAAGGTAGGAGAGACATTCCTCGAAGAAATGAGCTATTCAATTCAAGTTTGGCTGTCCAGAATCACTTCACAGTCCATACTGTTTTCTTTACGTTCCACATGACTCTATCAAATCTGATTACTATTTACCAACAGCAGACATCCTTGACGAGGGGTGAGTATGAAAAATATTTTCTTTAGCTGCCACCTTACTAAGTTACAGCTACTGATCAAGGGGGTAAGTGGTTTTCATTCCAGGTTTTCACTGACAATGGGAACTATCCCTCTACCCCCTAACTATATTCCCAGAATTACCGTGCAGAGTGAGATTCCTGATGTCTGATGAGATTTGCATTACTTGTGTATGACTTCCAACAGTGTTTACATTGGTAGTGTCTCCTTCCAGTGTGAATTCTTTTGTGTTCTACAAGGATTGAGCTTCGACTGAAGGTGGCACCACAAAACCTACATTCATAGGGCTTCTCTCCAGTATGTATTCGGTGATGTTCGTTAAGAGACGAACTCTGACTGAAGGATTTCCCACATTCTTTGCATTTGTAAGGTTTTACACCAGTATGAATCCTCACATGGCGACTAAGAAGGGAGTGGGTAGGGAAAGCTTTCTCACACTGGTTGCATTTGTAGGGTTTTTCTCCTGAATGAAGTCGCTGATGATAAATGACAGATGTGAAATGGCTAAAAGTCATCCCACAGTCATCACACAAATACGGTTTTTCCCCAGTGTGAATTCTCTGATGCCGGGTGAGGCATGAGGTCTGTCTAAAGGTTTTTCCACATTCATCACATTTATATGGTTTCTCTCCAGTATGGATCCTCTGATGTTTGTTCAGGGATGAGCTATGACTGAAGGATTTTCCACAGTCGACACATGTATAGGGTTTTTCCCCAGTATGAATTCGCTGATGTTGAATCAGGGATGAATTGTCCTTGAAGGCTTTCTCACAGTTATTACATTTAAAGGGTTTTTCTCCAGTATGAATTCTCTGATGATTAATGAGGTGGGTACTCAGGCTGAAACCTTTCCCACAATCATCACATATGAAAGGTCTATCTTCACTAGGAGGTGTATTATGTGTTCTGAGTGATAAGCTATCACCAGAAGTTTTTCCACATTCATTACACAGGTGGGGTTTCTCTCCAGTGTCAAGTCCCTGATTTTTGCAGACTGAGGCATCATAGCTAAAGACTTTTCCACATTTACTACACTTATAGGTTTTGTCTCCAGTCACAGTTCCCTTTTTCTTCTTTAAGGCTAAAATTTGACAGCATTTTTCGCACACAGGGGTTTTTCTCTTAGCAATAAGTGACCTTGGAATAAAGACTGTCCCACACTTAACACACTTCTTGGATTTATCCTCCAAAGAAATCTTCTGCCGTTTCTGATGTTCAGTAAGAGATGAAGAATGACTTAAGATTTTCCCACCTTCATTACATTTCCGTGACTTTTCCCCAGTGTTTTTTTCTTTGCGTTTCAGAACAAGGTCTGAATGGAAACTGAAGGGTTTCTGTTTCTTGTTCTTGTTTTCATGGTAACTCCGGGATTTCTTCCTTAAGTAGGCTCTCAGATGTTTAATTAAAACTGAAGTTTCTTTAGAATTGCTTCCAAAGGGGCTCCTTTCTGATTTGGATCCCTCACCCTTGTTGCCTCTCCCATGAGTTTTCCTGTGTGGGACTGTTCCTTTTGAAAATCTCTTATTGCCATGCTCCTCCAATGACCTGCCATAACGTTTCCAGAATTCTTCCATCAAGCCACGAGCGTCATCCCTGAGACATCTTTCTATTATTTCATCTGAAGTTGATTTTCCCACAACATCATCACGATTTCCACCAGAAACCATCAATTCACCTCTAGGCTCAGACTCTAAAAGAAATAAGAAATAGAGTATTTCCTGTTTGCGATAAAAGCCACTGCTGTATTTGGTACTGAAATCAAAATACAGACAGTAATGACTATACAAATTTCAAATTCAATGGTTCTCAAATAGAGCTTTAAAAAATAGGCAAGGAAGCCTAAGCAACCATACTGAGATGCCATCTATATACAAATGAAAGAAAATTAGCCAGGCATGGTGGCAAGTGCTTGAAGTTGGAGCTAACCTACTCATGAAGCTGAGGCAGGAAGGTCAATTGAGTCCAGGAGTACAAGGTTGCTGTAAGCTACAATCATGCCCTTGTACTTCAACCTGAGTGACAGAAAAATAGAGAAGGACAGAAAACTACAGAAAGCCATTATGAAGAAACGAGATAAACACAGCCTAGGGATTAGGGAAGATACTGGGGAAGATGATAAGCTTGTGTCTTGTAAGTAGGGATGTTAAGTTCTCATCTTCATTTTGAATTTCTGTGACAGGTTCAAACCTTTTCTCTTTACATCCAAATTTTTCTCTTTCCAAAACAATGACAGCACAAACATTTACTGAATGCTTACCAAATGCCAGGAGATTTTTTAATCTTTATTTTTTTAACTAATTTATTTTTTTGAGACAGAGCCTCAAGCTCTCACCTTGGGTAGAGTGCTGTGGCGTCACAGCTCACAGCACCTTCCGACTCTTATGCTTAAGTGATTCTCTTGCTTCAGTCTCCCAAGTAGCTGGGACTACAGATGCCCACCGTAACGCCCAGCTATTTTTTGGTTGTAGTTGGCATTGTTGTTTGGCAGGCTTGGGCTGGACTGAAATTCACTAGCTCTGGTGTATGTGGCTGGCTCTGGAGCTATAGGCACTGAGCCTAATCTTCATTTTTTTAGACAAGAGTCTCACTCTGTCACCCTGAGTAGAGTGCCGTAGCATCAAAGCTTATAGCAACCTCAATCATTTAGGCTCAAGCGATCCTTTTGTCTCAGCCTCGGCCTCCCCAGTAGCTGAGACTATAGATGTGCACCACCACATCTCCCTATTTTTTTTTTTTTTTTTTTTTTTTTTTTTTTTTTTAGTAGAGAAAGGGTCTTACTCTTGCTCAGGATGGTCTCAAACTCCTGAGCTCTGGGGATCTACCTACCTTCACCTCCCAGAGTGCTAAGATTGTAGGCATGAGCCATCATGCCCAGCCTCAAATGCCAGACCTTACATCAAATACTATACTTGCATTATTCTACCTACTCTTCATGACAACCCTACGAAGTTTTCTTATCCCTGTTCTATGGCTGTAACCACTGGACACAGAGATTATAAGGTCAGGTATATTAAGTGACAAAGCCAACTTTTAACCTAGCTAAACACCAAAGCCCACGCTTTTGATCCTTATCCTATACTGCCTCTTCAGATATACAGCACCCATGTTACTGAAAATATCAACCACATCACAGGAATACACTACCACCTAAGCCAGACTTTCAAAAGTTGCCACAATCTGGCTCTATCAATTTTTTTTTTTTTTTTTGGAGACAGAGTTTCACTCTGTTGCTCTGAGTTGAGTGCAATGGCATCATCAGAGCTTATAGCAACCTCTATCTTTTTTTTTTTTTTTTTGAGACAGAGCCTCAAGCTATCCCCTGGGTAGAGTGCTGTGGCATCATAGCTCACAACAACCTCAAATTTAGGCTCAAGCGATCCTTTTGTCTCAGCCTC